CAGAGGAGGCGACGCATCGGCTTCCTGCTGAGAACCACCTCAGATTTAGAGGAGCTGATCCTCATCCCGACCGCTTCACACTCGGCTGCCAAACGCTCCAGTGAGAGTTGGAGGTCACAGACGGAAGATGCCATCAGGACCACATCATCTGCAAACAGCAGCGATGAGATCCGCAGCCCCCCGAACTGTAGACCCTCCTTTAGAATCATAGAGGTCATTTCCACATGTTGTACAATCAATCGTCAACATTGGAAGGATCCAGCTGATCATTCACAGTTCATGAGGTCAACTGATGAGACCTGAACTGTTGTAAAGCCTCGTCACCCACTTCCAGGGGGGGTGTCGGGTGAAGACACGTCGCTGTGCCTAATGAGTCTTTTTTTCTCCTGGTTCCCATTGATCATCTATTGATCGTTCCCTGCAGTAGGTTGGGTGCAGTCACCTGTGGAGGGCGGGCGCCGTGGGGCCCCCCACTGAGCGACCTGCGCCGCGTATCGTCACGTGTGCGTGCTGGTGGAGTCCTGCAGAAGCCCACCCCGTCCCCGGACGCCTCCCACACACAGTCCCAGTGTGGCCGGTTATATAAAGCCACTGGTGGTCACACCTCAGGTGTTTGTGCTGCGATGACGCCTCCAGGCTGGTCCCCTTCTCTCCCAGCGTCTGCTGGAGAAGATCACGCACACCACAAAGCAAAAAGCTGCCAACCCCCATGAATGAATGGCGGCCGGTCCGGTACTCGTGTGCTGCTCCCGTCCCCACGTGCTGCCTCCCGCTCGCCGCCTTTTGCAGGGCACATCAACGGCAGGGTTGCCAGGGTGACTGCTCGCTTTGCAGTTCCTATAAAAAGGCAGCAGGGTGGGTAAAAAGGGGAGGCGACGGGGGGTCCGGCGTGGGAGTGCGCGACTGTCGAGCAGCTGTCGCGTCGTTCCAATCCAAGAGGAACGCGTTCACCTGCGTGGTCTGAGAGCTTCTTCTCTTCTGCACCTCGCAGGGGTTCAGATGTTTCCCAAAGCCAATCAGAGCACATATTTTAGTTTTTACCATCTCACTGTCATTGTGGGCATTAATGTACCATGAGTTGGTTTGATTTCTTACGGGGTAAAACCACAAAGAAATGCCGCATATTTGACAATTCTACTGTCTAAATCACACCTGCTACTCAGCGCATTAAGTAGCAGAGTGTCTTCATTTCCAGAGCAAATGTCTTTTTGAAAAGACGAGCGGAAATGAACCCGCGCTGCGAAGCTAACAGCGGCGTGCTAACAGCGGCGTGCTAACAGCGGCGTGCTAACAGTGGCCCCTCCGCTTCAGGTCTGATCTTCTGTCTTTAGACAGAATCAACAGCGCTGGAAGCTTCTCGTCCCCTTCAGCCCTTGTTTGAGTCCTCTGTCCTAATTCACTACGTTTCCTCCCAAACATCCAGTTGACGGAGGCGTTGTCTCCCTGCTGATCACTCCCATGTGGGCTGGAGGAGCCGTGCGTGCTGATCAATGAGCGGTCGCTGGTTAATGAGAGGGAGAGACAGACGTGGATGGTGGATGGAGGAAGAGGCCGATGAACGTAGAACATGTTTGGAGTCGGTCGCTTATGAATTGGAATGGAAAAGGAAAAAAGGACGGCGATGCGGCCGGGATGCTCTCCAGAGCTCCTTCCTCCCTCCCTCCCTTCCTCCCTTCCTTCCTTCCTTCCTTCCTTCCTTCCTTCCTTCCTTCCTTCCTTCCAGGCCCAGCTGCAGTGCTGCTTGAACAGACCCTCGGGTCATCTCTCCCCCTGTGCATCACACAGCAAAGACGATTCCACGCTCTGCAACATTTATCTGCTTCTACTCGACATGTTTTGTTTCAGCTGCACAGGATTTATAATCCTCCCCCGCTTTTAGAAAAAGTGCTGAGTCTGGTCTTTTCCAGAGCAGAGCGCCGCTTTATTTGTCGGGATGTTTCCAGGGAGAGAGCGAGGGGGAGAGAGAGCGCGAGGGAGGGGGGAGGCAGGCAAACGGGACCGTAGAAAGGGGTTTTCCTGAGCCCCGCCTCCTCGCCATTGGTCCAGGCTGTGCACGTGTAACAATATCTCCATCACCATGTCAGTAATGTGTAGAAATAGAGGATACGGGATAAATAAGCGACTGTTGTCTGGTTTGACTCTATTTTTAGTCGTTATGTAACTGACTATAAATGCGTACTGACGCCATTTATCAAGTCACAAGGTAATCTGAACCAACCGCCTGCACGTGACCTCACGGCGCCCGACCCCCCTGCAGACGCTGCGTTCCCATTCTCACGTCTGTGTCTGTCCTTCACCTTTTTATCGGCAGCTGATGGTTTTATAAAGTCGCTCTGCGACCTGTGATGGTTGGTGGATTCGCATCAAAGGAGCTAAACGTTATTTATTTGCGTCCTCATTGAAACGGGACGGTGCACATTGAGCCAAACGGGACGGTGCACATTGAGCCAAACGGGACGGTGCACATTGAGCCAAACGGGACGGTGCACATTGAGCCAAACGGGACGGTGCACATTGAGCCAAACGGGACGGTGCACATTGAGCCAAACGGGACGGTGCACATTGAGCCAAACGGGACGGTGCACATTGAGCCAAACGGGGACGGTGCACATTGAGCCAGACGGGGACGGTGCACATTGAGCCAGACGGGACGGTGCACATTGAGCCAAACGGGGACGTGCACAGTGAGATGGAAGAAGGTGAGAATAAAACTGCTAGACGTGCAACACAGAGGCTCTCAAGGTGAACACACAACGCAAAATGAAATGATTAAAGCAGCAAGCTGCTACTGTGAAGATGTAGTGATGCTGCCTGAGCGTTCGTAGCATTGGCTGCTAACCGTGGGTGCTAACCCTTTTCACACCCCACAATGTGTCTACAGCTGATGGTCCAAGGGGAGGTGAATGGTCTGAACCCAGAGGTGGATGTTCTCATCACTACTGTCGTGCTCTCACATATAACTAAGATTATTACATTACACCTTGTATCAAAGCGGCTCTCAATAAGTGCGTTGTTACTATAAGAGGTCCAGACGCAGGACCAGAAGAACCGGTCCAGGTAGTCGGGACGTGTGCTTTCAGTAGACTGTTTGTACATGTTGCACGTTCCCAGGATCTGTTGTAGAGTTAAACGTCTATGTTGCGTACCTGCACAGCGTGTTTGCACCATTATTGGGTTCAGCCGCCATCGGGGGCGGAGCTACAGACCGCCAGAACCGCGGTGTGGGATTCTCTGACATCACGACCCAGAAGTGGAGCGATAATTGTTCACTTTCTTTTCCCTGTAATGAAATGGAGGCGGATTCCAGCTCGCTCGTAATCACGCCGACATCCGTGCGACCGCAGTCAGCCCAACGCGCTCGCATGGGATTGTTTGGAGCGCCCTCTTTGACCTGATCCTACGGCTACAAGGCCCCCGTTAGAGGATGGTGGAGTGCTTCCTGTCCCGCCCACCAGGCCAAGCGCTTCCATTGAGTCAGTCCGCGCACACTCCGGCTGGGTACCGGGGACCGGGACCCATGTGGTACATCGAGCTGCAGACACGTGGCTCCGTATCCTCACGCGAGTGGCAGCACTTTGGATCTCGTCGTCTTTATTTTACGCAGCAAAGCGTTTACTGAACATAGAAACGTTCAATTCTGTCACACGGTGGAGAAGCGACGTGTACGATTCCTTCATTGTCTCGTGGCCGCGCATCCAGACGGTCCAGGAAACCGATGGTCGCTGCATCGCTGTAGTGGAGGAAACCATCACCTCATTCTCTCTCGTCTTTTAGAGAGTCAGACTGACTGTTTTCACTTCACATTTACACTTAGTTCAGTGCAGCGTCATTGAAATAATACATTACATTATTATTTCAATGCAGGAATGTCTTTAAATGCTGCTGCTGGTTTACGTGCACTAACCTACATGATGCGTGTTTGCAGGGGGGGGAATAGGCATCGTTCTTTATTTATATTTACAGTGATATACTGTTCAATTTGAAGAAAAAAACATTGCCTTTCTTTTGTTTTTATTGTTTCAATCATTGTGTTGTGCTTTTATTTCCGGTTTATGCAGCGGTATCGCTCCACGTGCACGCAGGAGGCGCTGGTTACATGCGTGTGAAACGCTGCGCTGTGGTAAGCAGCCGTGTGCTGATGTCACTGTGGACCCTCTATGGGTCATGCATTTCCAACGTTAAAGGACACGTTCGTCTTCATCCCGAAGCAATCTGGGCTCGTCTCTTATTATTATTATTGTTATTATTATTATTTGTACCCCGTGCATCTCGCCTCGCGTCTCTTTCTCTGCTTTGCTGCAGAGTGAAGCTCATTGGTGCATTCAGCACGCTGCAGCTGTCAATCATACGCCCACTCATGAACGTAACCGGTCAGTTTATAGTTCATCGTTGCCTCCTCCACGTGTGTATTCAGCCCGCAGTGACGCCTAATAAAGCTCAGGGCATCATGGGAAACGTGGGGTCACTGTTTTAGGAATAGAAAGCAAAATGTATCTTGGCTTCTGTTGCTTCTCTTCCTTTTGGACTCTGTCTTCTGTCCCTTGTCTTGGGCTGGGAAACATAATAATAGTATTATCCAAATCATCATAATATCCTATATATATGTTATTGTGTAAAAGCACTGATGGTGGAGCCTGCCATATTGTTCCCATATTGATTATTGCGACACTTGCGTTTCACCATCAGCTCTTTAACGTCTCCACCAGTAACTGCTGAACCCCCCCATGAAGAGCTGAAGCTGTCAGGGTCAGGGTCAGGGTTAGCCATGACCCTGACCCTGACCCTGACAAACTGGTTATTATGTTGTATGTGGGATGCTGGACCCCCCAGCAGACCAACTGGTTATTATGTTGTAATGGTACAGCGTGGGGGGGATGCTGGACCCCCCAGCAGACCAACTGGTTATTATGTTGTAATGGTACAGCGTGGGGGGGTCGTCGCTTCAGGCTGAAGGAGCTGCTTGGTGTCTGAGGCTGATTTCCTGTCATGTGTCCCTGCAGTGAGCAGAGTATCTGCCAGGCGCGAGCCGCCGTCATGGTGTACGACGACGCCAACAAGAAGTGGGTCCCTGCCGGCGGCTCCACGGGCTTCAGCAGAGTCCACATCTACCACCACACGGGCAACAACGCCTTCCGCGTGGTGGGCCGCAAGATCCAGGACCACCAGGTCAGTCTGATCGGCGCACGCATGGGGGGTTAACGGTAGGGGGGGGGAACATCGATTTCTCTCGATTCTCTAGAACGATTCGGTCTCGATTCAGAAAAGTTAATAATCGGAATAATTATTTTTTCTTAAAGTTGCGAGATATTTGCTCGCTCGCGCAGCGTGAACTCCCTCGCTCGCCAGGTTAGAGCTCGCGCTCGAAGGTGTTTTCTACGCGCTCGCTGTTGTTCTTTCTGACAGTGAGGGGGCGGAGCCAGTCACCATGGTCTCTACACCTGATTGGTTACAAACCCCGTCTTTGGATTGGCTGGAGTGATGCATCCACACAACTATAGAAGCCCATTTCCGCACTAATGTAAGGGGATAGAAAGTCGAAATTAAGAGATAAAACGTTGTCAAAAAACAACCACCCCCCCTTCGGTAACCGTAGTGGAGCGTAGATGACAACCAGCTACAAGCATCATTTACCATCATCGTTATTGAAGTTATTCTATATATTATTATATATTGTATATATTAAAGATATTCATAGATAAATTGAGACTAAGAGCAGCTTTTATTCATTTAAAAGAAAAAAGAATCTGTTTAATATTGTTTTTACATCGGCTACTTCATATTGTGTTGGAAGCTGCGTTGTTGATGTTGAAGATTTTTTTTTCTCCTATAAAAAAATTAGAGAAGGTAATTCATCTGTTGATTTTATTTAATTATCAAATAAAGTAGGAAGTGATTAGCAACCTCTGAGTAGCAAACTCAGATTTGAGAAAATTTAGAAAATCGAGATGCATCGATAATCGTTTTATCAGAATCGAATCGTTGACCTCTGAATCGAATCGTGAGGTGCCAAGCGATTCCCACCCCTAGTTAACGGGGTCTCTGCAGCGGACCAGCAAAGTCCACGTGTTGTATCCCCCCATTCAAATGCTGGTCGACTGTGGCCGGGGGGGCGGGGGGGCACCTGGTAGCTGCTGTCATCAGTGTAGGAATGGTGAACGTGTGAATCTAAAAAATCAATTAACTAATTGATCTCACATTTTAAAATGCATTATTCTAGATGAATTGCTATTAAAAGTTTATTTTTCTCAGACTAAGTAATCCCTTTACAAATGTGTATTTTAGACACTGTGGTTGTTTTATTTTAAAACACAAAACTACACACATGTGAAGGAACAGATGAACAGATCCATCTGTTACTGATGGTTAATGAGTGAACACACACGTCTGCTATGTGTGTGTACGTATCATGGTGATAGAGCTGGACCCTGTTCATAAAGTACATGATAATGTGACATCCACATACTGCGTTTAGAGGAAGACACACTTCTATAAAGAGAATCTGTAGGTAAGTTGACCTTCCACTGAACCCTTCAGATCCCTTTTCCCCAGCGCCTCTAAAGCCGGTGGTGCTGAGCTCAGTCCTCATCCCGACAAGCATAAGCCTCCATCTACACAGCAGCATCCCAAGCAGCACTGATGCATTGTGGGTGTGCATAACAACACATGAACACAGCGAGTAGCTATCGGAAGACAAAGCACTAATGAGTGTGTGTGTGTGTGTGTGCGTCTCCTGCGGGTCACACACTGCCTCAGAAATCCCACAATCCTCAGTGTTGTTGTGTGTGTTTTGCTGGAGGGAGGCAGGAGGAGGATCAGTCCGGACTCCTCGGGGCCTTCAGCAGCTCTGCATTCTTCTGCAATCAGTGCTGCAACATCAGCATCAACTCCACCAAGCAGAAGGACCCTGACGGAGGCCACAAAGCTCCTGTCAATGCAACTCAACACTTCAATTGTGGAAAGAGGCGACACGTTGGCTTAATGTCAGATACCAACCCTACGGCGATCGTCTCTGTTGTGACTGAATAATGACTCATAAGCTGCAGCACGAGTAGGAATGTTAGCCCGCTGAGACGTTCCCAGCTGGTTGCAGTCGGGTCAGTGGTTGTGCATCACGGGGCTGAGCGCTGTGATCCCGTAAAGGCGGCGTAACGGCGACAGTGACTCTCGTACTCGATGCTTCACAGTGAAGGTCACCGGCAAACGGTGGACTGCTTATTCCCTCAGTAAACCTTGTGAGTCGTGATGCACAGCGACCCAAAAAACACAATATTTACCTTTTGGACATTTAAATAAAGGATGAGCGCCGCCGTCCTGAGATCAGTTTGTTTTCATTCGCCGCCACCTACGACGGGCGTCCCTGCGTCTCACTTCCTCCTCCCCTCCACCGGCTCAGTCCTCCGACTACGCTCAGTGAACCCACGAGGTCATAACCTTGAATTAAGAGGAAGGGGGCCTCAGATGGGGGCCAGGTTTTAGAGCTTGGAGACCGTTAGATCAGCGCGGGGCCACAGGGCTTCTGCAGGAGGCCGTGTCGGATTCGCTCTCATTAGTTTGGACATGCGATGACACAGCAATTATTGAATTAAACCACATTACACGATCCATCAGCCGTATCAAATGAGCAGCGTTCTCACGTCCTCGTAACAAAACGCCCTGATCATGATGCAGATGAGCCCCCTCCCTTTCAAACGGTGTGTGTGGAAGATGCAAAAGGTAATAAAGGTTATAGAGGAGAGTGTTTTATCCGTCTCAGTAGCTCAGAGAAGCCGGCGAGGAGCCTCTCTGAGCTACTCGCCTCGCGGGACTCTTTACCTCCAGTCTTCTGCTCGGTGTTTAACACGCTTTTCAAAAGGGAACCACATGAGCTTGTTTTTGTTCTACCCATGAAAGCCGCTGTCCCGTTTCCACGGGGCGGATTGAGCCCTCTGGCTACCGAGGACTACGGTGAACTTACTTCTTCCTAATGGCAAAGCATTTGTCTTGCTCCCTGCAGGTGGTGATAAACTGTGCCATTCCCAAGGGGCTCAAGTACAACCAGGCCACGCCGACCTTCCACCAGTGGCGCGACGCCCGCCAGGTCTACGGCCTCAACTTCGGCAGCAAGGAAGACGCCAACGTGTTTGCCAGCGCTATGATGCACGCCCTGGAGGTGCTCAACTCGCAGGACACAGGTATGGCTGCTGGGGGGCATGAGGGGTTCTTGTGGGGCGAAGGCATGAAGCATTTGGTGCTTGAGAAGTAAGGCGTTTACAAGAGTTCTATGGATGACCAATGACTTTATCAAGAACCTTCTTTCTCCAAGAATTGATTTTAAAAATATTCATTGCTCCCAGTTGGAAGATTTGTGGAGGTCTTTGTACCAGATCGTTCGTTGACCTTAGGAACATCATCAAGAACCCTGGGCCGGTCGTTGATAGGACACCCTGATCGGGTCCTAGATGAAACCCTTGGATTGTTCTCGGGTACCTTCCCTGGTTTGGTTTTAGATAAGACCATTGAAGCAGGAATGCTTTCTTTGAGGGTAGAGAGGGTTGGGGTTATGGTTCCAGGTAAGACATGCGGCACAGATGGTTGCTGCTACGTGAATCTTGACCAGAAGGTACGATGATGAGGACAATGAAGCAGTGTCTAGTCACCAGGTCTCACCACATCTCTCTTCATGTCCTCCACAAAAGATCATTGGATTTCCATCAATTTCCCTTCTCTACTCTTTGTCGTCCAATTGATGCAGCTGATCACCGCTAATTTGTGGAAAGAGGTCAGTCTACGTGAGCTATAGCGACGACTAAAAGCCCCCCTGCCCCCACTCACCTTAAGGAAATATACTACTGTCAACATAAACACGTTAATCTATGAGATTAATGCATCCAAATATTTTAACGTCCGTTTGTTTACTCCTTGAAGTAAACCGGTAAAGAACTAAAGTTCACCGTGGAAACAAAACGGCGGCTAGCTGCAGTTAGTTCCATGAAGACCTGGTGACGGGTTTATCAAAGCTGGTGACCTGAGGGGTCCACCCCCCCTCAGCAGCACTGTCTCCCACCCAGCCGTCCAGGTGTTGAACATAAGTGAACCGAGGAGACAAAGAACCCAACCGGCAGTAAGTAGAACGACTCTTACGTTGGTCATTGGCCTTCATGAAGCATGCAAGCCGTCATTGAGGGGGATCCTTCATTTCTCCACCACCGTAACCGGACAAAATCAGCAGAAAACTGCTCCTCCACAGTCACAAGTCACAGCAGGAGGTGCAGAGCTCCAGGCGAGCCGTGCCGACCTGACCTGCTACCAGAGGATTAAGGATCAGACCACACCTGTGGGCCTGTGACCCGTCACATAGACAAACACCTGTAAACGTGTGTGTGTGTGTGTGTGTTGGTGTGTTTTAGGGTCAAAATGCCATCATGAGAAGGTTTCTCATGTGACTTAAAAAGAAGAATATAGAACTCTGGGAATTAAAATAGTGATTTAAATAATAATCATTCTAAAAACTAATAAAGGTGATAGTCAACTAAACTTTTAGAAGAGCCTTTTTTTCTGTTGGTTTAAATAAATGTTACCTTGTAGAAAAGGGGAGTATCCATTAAACATATTGATCAGATAACTTTGTTATGACGACGATGACGGTCGCTTCTGTTCAGGAAAATCACAAACAAACAGCATGTCTGACGAGGAGGAAAGACAGAACCTGTCACTCATCATCCCCATGACATCACTGCTACATTCTGCTGTGTGGGTGGAGTGAGTGATGGGGGGGGGGGGGGCAGGCGCCGCAAAGAGCAGCTGTCAGGACAGAAATACAGAAGCAGAGAGGGGGGGAACCTGCCGCCCCCCTCATGGCTTATAAGGAATATTACATTTCTGTGTATGTGTGTGTGTATATATATATATATATAATTATCTTTCGTATAAACTGTCCTCAGAAGAAAAGAAACTACGTGCAGATTGTTAATGAATAGCAGCGTTCTGGGCGCCATTGAAGCGTTAAATGAAGCTCCGCCCCCAGCAGGCGTAGATGAACGTAGATCCTCTGGATTACTGCTGATCTCTGAGGAGCGAGTGTGATCTCTTGATCCATGACGGGCAGCTTTGAGCGCCGTGTAGTTTCTGATAATGATCTATTTTTATTCCCACAACATAACTGGACAAATAATAATCAATCCTTCGTGTTTATAGGAAAGTTGTAGCCTCATGAGCTGAATATTTTGGTCAACCAGAAAATCCAAGAGGCTGCTCTGACAAAATGATGTGCAGATATTAGTCAATAGAAAAAATAACTAATGTCACATTTTGAAATTCATTCATCTTCATTCATCTTGATTATTGGCGATTAATGAATAGAGAATTAACAAATCTCTGCCGGATATAATGTGCGTCTTACTGATGAACGGCACCAGTGTCACACACACTCAACCCATGTGCTTTGATGCTGCGTTACCCCGGTTACCCCGGTTACCCCAGAGCAGATCTGCAGGTCTCCAGGGTTTGCTTACAGCATGGAGACAGACAGATGGTGGGAATGCGTGTTTTGCTGTATGAAAACTCCCACTAGCGTCAATCAAAGGATCAATCCTGGATGAGGGCTGTTTACGGAGTACGTTCATCGTTGTGCTCACAGGAGAAATGAATGAAGAGGCCTCGAATGCGGTTTGAGCTGAATGTACAATAGATATCATGTGGTGGTTTGCATACGGACAAAGGCAGAATGTTTAATGTCTCATACTACAATACTGTTGTGATCAACCTTTTAATATTACTCCTGACTAATGTTGTTTATATCAGCCATGAGTTGTGAATAAACCTTTAAAGAAATGTGTGGTAAAACCGCCTGTATGTTGATACAGAAACGGGGCCGTGTTTTCTGCACAACAAACCTTCAATGAACCACCTATTTTAGACCATTTTCATATCGGATTATAAGGCGCATAAGATCCAGCAGGCAAACGTCTGGCGTCGGGGCGGGTGGATGGCGGGTGGATGGGCGGTGTGGGGCGGTGGGGACGGTGCTTTCAGGGTCCGATCGATGCTGTGAGGTGCGTCCGCTCCCGCCGCCCCCCTCGCCATCCACGCCTTAAATCTCCGGCTGCTTTTAGAATAACTTATGTTCCCCGTTAAGATGGTTCAGCTACTGTAGAGAAAAGGGCGCCGTCTCTCGCTCTTTAATCTCATGAAGTGCTCGGCGAGAACGACAGCTTTGTTTCTCCGACGCGCCCTGAAAGCAGCTCCGTATCTCGCTCAGCATCTCGCCGTCGTAGACGAGCTTTGGCGTGTTTGGCAGAGTGAACAACCAGTACGGATCAACCAGTTAACCAATTTATCCGTATATATATATATATATATATATATAATAAGCCTTTTACGTGCGTCTGAGTGCGGACAACACGGTAACTCATAGATTTCACTTCCACAGTTGATTCCTAAGAATATAACTAACTTTTTGTATTACAACTCAGGTTATGCTTTAAATATGAAAATCAGGGATTTAAAATGTTTTGTGTAAGGCCTCTTTGAGCGTTTGGAAAATTAAATGTATTATTGTTATTATCCAACTTTTGTTGAGAAATGAAACTCATTTAGTGGTCTGAATCTCTCCGCGATGCTCCGGACGAGTATGGAGGTTAAAAGCCTCCAGCCGGAGAAGCCTCCATGTTTCTGTCACATAACTTAGTTTTAGTCTATTCTATAACGTCCTGTGGAGAGGGAGCTTTATCCGCTTGTAACCAGGCCAACAGACTTGTATGTAGGAAGAGAAACATTCACACCGTTGGTTGGATGTTGTTACACACCAGGTCTGCTCTGAAGCCCCTGAGCACTGGAGCCAGCTCATCTCCTGTCCTGTAGAGCAACAATCATCTGTTTGGGAAATGGCTCTCAGTCAAGGACCCTCGTTTCCCTCCCACCCCCCAGCACCCCATTGAATAGCCCAGCGTTTACCTCCACCCCTTAAAGCCGCCCCTCTTGTTGCCGGGTGGATCGGGGGCTATAATAAGGACGCGTCACCCCGACACACGACCCCCATGTCGCCCAGACGCTTGGACTGTCTGGTTCAAATGTCCACCGGTTGTCCTTCTAGACATCCTGACTCCCCCCGAGCCCCAAAACACCCCTCCCCTCTCCCCCACATACACCCATAAATAGATGAAGGCAGAGGTGTGTGGATGGCCTGTGATGAAACGACTCACCCTCACTGCAGACTTTAGTTTGGACCTGGGGGATTCATGGTGGACAAACTAACTCCTTCAGAGCTTGTGGACTTTCGTTGGTGGAGTCCTGCCAACCCTCAAACTGTGAAATTAAGACGCTCCAGCTGGTTTTCTTTGAGGGCCTCGATCAGAAAACCGCTGATGCAACGGACCAATCCGATTAGGCTCCTCTTCCTCGTCACGCGCAGCGTCATCAGAATAAACCAAGCATGAACCTGAACATGAGCGTTATGGCTCCCCTTGGAAAGAATTCACTTCACCAGATGACACCCGAGGACCGAGCGTCCTTGAATCCCAGTAATCACAATAAACGAGGCGCTGAAAGTCATGATGAATTCCTTGAATGTATGCGAGGGCCTTTGTGCTGTCACAACAGCAGGGTGGGGCAACGCTGGGGCCGAGGCCGAATGGAGAATCTGAAGCCGGTCGCAGTGAGCCAGGTAGCCCATTTACGGAACCGTCCAGCCTAATGGTTATTGATGCAGATCAGACCTCGGAGAAGCAGCTGGATGGGCAGAGAGCAGGAGAGGGCCCCGGAGCAGCCAAAGAGCCCATTAGCAAGGCTTTGTTTCTTGTGTTCTTGGGACGAAGGCCACGTCCTCGTGGATCCGTATCCAGATTGCTCCCAATCTGTTAGCGGCGGCCTGCAGGCAAAAATCTTATGGTGAGCATCTGAACGATGACCCTGAGTGCTGCTTTGGGAACAAACCGTTTTCTTCGCAACTTCTCAGGATGAAACTCTGCTGGTAATAAATGTTTGTATCTATTCAATAGCTCTGTAAGTGCTCCCTAATGCACACAGCGAGGACTTGCATTTATAAGTTATGTCGTCCCGACTGGATGTCACCTGATTATAATAAAATGATTTTTCTTGACAGAATTTCGACGGCTCAAATCTAATACAATTTTTCGAAATGTATTTCAGCCGTCTCTGATTGGAGACACTGGCTCAATGGCTCAGGCACAATGCT